AAAAATTGGGAAATTCTCAAGTCCAGCTCCCAGCTAACTTGGCCATGCTGTGGGCCTTGGACATCTCATGCTGTAACGCTTTATGACATGAACGGTAACAGATTAACATCCCCTTTTACTGGAAAGCTCGAAATAGAAAATTCGAAGTGCGTAGAGGTTGGTTGGATGGAAAGCCAAATCCCGTAAACATGGCTTGGCACTGCGAGGGTTTTTAATTGACCTTGGTGGGGCTGTGATTCCTTTCCGTTGACAACAAGGCATCGGTGTTTGCAGAGATGTGGCACAAGCTTGTGTAGGACTAGCATTGCAGTGCTGCTGTCAGAGGCTTTTGCTGTTCTTGAGCGTTTCTTGGATTACTTAATGATGAAACCTTAGGCTGCATCAGCAAAATGGTCTGTTTTTTGCTCTCCATCTGGGATTTAACAAATAGGAGAGTCATTCTTTAAGCTGAAGGATCGTTGTAAAGCCATTTCAAATGAAATGCACTCATTGTTTGAGAATCCTTCGGCAAAAAAGCACTTGAAAATCTCCCAGTGTGGGCTGTCTGAAGACAGATGTTGTTTCTGTTTTCTGTGGCTGTTTGGAAAGGAGGTAGGACTAAATGCACCTACCTTGAATGATTGGGCAAGTACAAGAGAGAGGAGGGAGAGCTGCCTCTTTTCAGGAGTGAAGCATTTCTGATGCGTCAGTTGCTTGAGGTGAATGTAGTTTTTAAAAGGAATGCTGTTTATTCCCTTGCATAAACTCTGTATTGCCGACTGCATTTTTAGGAGGTCTTTGTAGCTGTATTTTATCACTGAAAGATGTAGTGATAAATAAATAATAAATGGACGAGGAACTGATTGAAAAGAAAAAGAGAGGAAGAATAAAATGAAACCAAATTTGATGCTCTGTTTTAATGACTGGGATTTTGCAAATCCTGTTGGCAAAGAGTGAGATGGAGTTATATGAAACCCGCTATCCTGAGACACTGAAGTTGTCCTGCCTAGACAGCAGCCCATGCCAGTTGGATAGAATTGCAAAATAGACCACAGTACAACCCCAAGTCCCACCAAAATGCTGGAGGAGATACAGTAATGCAGGAAATCTTTTTCCTGTCCCTAGAGAGTGTCCCACAGGGCACGTTGCTGGTCGGGAGCTAGAAGGTACAAGTGGCTGTTCCTTTCAGGGACCTGTTGTGTTGAACTCTGGATCCAGAGTCTGTAGGTTTTGCTACCTACAGTGTGGATGATCTGACTGAAAGGCCGAAAAAAAGGTAGGTAATTTTGTGTATGATGTTTTTATATGCATTAATAACATATTAGTAGTAAAAATTAAAAAAAAAAAAGAGAAAAAAATATTTCCTTTTGCTTTGGTGAACAGAACTGAAAGCCCTTAAGTTTTCAGGTGGGACTGGGACTTAAAGATATTTCTGCATTTGCTTTTGTGTGATTGTAATTGTTACAGAAATGTATTTGGAGGTGGATGGACTTGGTTTTAGGTGACCTTCTTGAGTGAGTGTTGGCGATCAGTTACTGAAGGAGGCATATGTTACTAATTTTTTTGAGATTTATGAAAGAGAGTCTCTCTCTTATGGTATATATAAATGGACTTTCTTATCTCAGTAAAGTTAGCTGCTTGAGGGAGTATACTCTTTAAGGCAGGGATACTGTGAGAATGGATTTCAGCAATGATCAAATAGGTTTTATCTCATGAAATCGACACTGCATGAAATTTTATTTTAGAGTATTGATACTCTCTGCTGCAGGCCAGATGCAGCCCAGGCTGGCACGGCTAATTCACCTTGGCCACACTCCAGCCGAGCATCCTGTTTCAACAGAGTGGTTAAGCGTATGCTTATCTTTAAGCAGGCAGCTAAATCCTGGTGGTTTCACTGCTGCTCTGGACCGTGGCTTCTTGACCAGGGGACAAGTCAGCTGCAAGGAGAACCTGTAGCACGTTCCTCCTCCAGGATTTCTTTCCCTGGGTTAGAGCTGGGCCTGTTGCTGAAGAAGCGATGGAACAATACGTGCTTGGGCTGACTTTATCTCAGGGGTCGGGGTCTCCTGCTGATCCCACGCCAGGCTACCCCTGGGCTCGGACAAGGTGTTGGGGTTGTGGGTGATGCCAGCCAGGCCTTCGGCTGGGCGGGGAGGAGATGTCGTCCCTCTGGGCGGCAGCGTGCCCTTCTTGCGAAGGGAGGTGATGCTTCGTTAGCTGATCTTGGGCAGGAGAACTGTGACAAACATGCGCGGGGTGGGGGGGGGTTTGTGGCACGCTCGGAGCTGACCACGGCGCAGGATGGCTCCACGGGTGCTCCAGAGTCCCCCCGGGCACTGCGGCTACGGCCCGGGGCCTCTGCGGAGTGAGTGCTCAAGAGACAATTAAAAGAGAGAATTAAAGCATGTTTTGAAAAACAGATTGCTTTTTCTGTTTGAAGTTTCCAGGAAAGCAAAGCGACCTGCCCTTCCCCCCACTTCAGATCCCACCTGTTTTGTTTTTCTTCCTAGAAAAATGTGAAATTCATTAACATGTGGTGAAAGCAATGTAACGACGTCATCTTGATTTAAAATCTGTTTTAAATCTTAAAACGTTGGAGCCAGAATCTTAACTGCAAATAGCCTTGCTTTTGTGGGTACGAGGCAGACTGTCAACATGACCCGAACATCTCTGCTTTTAGTAGTTTAGCGCATCCTTTGCAACAATATCATTTGAAAAAAAAAAAAAAAAAAAAGCAAGGAGAGGTGTGGGAGGAGGAAAAAAAAGAATTAGTATTATTCACATCGAAAGCCAAGTCCTGCTTGCTGTGCTGAGAAGTGGCTGTGGTGCCTGGGGAGAGAGCCGGGCTGAGTGGTGGCCGGGAGCTCCGTCGCGTCCCGCGGTGGCCTCCTGGCAGGTGCCGTGGCTGCTGCTCCGCTCGCGTCCTCAGCTTTGGGTCACGGCTTCTTGCTGCGCTGTCTTCTGAGAGTGGGGAATATTGCTGCGATTAATGGTGTAATTCTTGTCTGTCACCTCTGTCGTCACCTTCAATGTCTGCTTAGACCCAGCGTTGCCCTGAATCTCCTTTCGCTCAGCCTGTGCGTTTAGCTCCTGCAGTCTCCTGCTGACTTCTGACAGTAAAGCAAGAGAGTTAAATCGCTTTCTCTCTTAGGACTTGGGATTCAAATAGCATAATCCCAGCATTTAATAAGGGCAGCAAAAGCGATCCCGCAACATCCCTGTGAACCTCATTGCTGTTGCCACTGTGTTGAATATAATGTTTTTGTTTGGGTTGCTTAGTGAAGGTCTGGTGCTAAGCAGCACTGCCTGACCGAAGTTTTCCTCCTGCTGCTGATCTGTGTGTGTACTTGATAGTTGGAAATGCTAAAAAGTTCTTTTGAGGTTTGGACTTTCAGGGAGCATTTGACTTTGAAATATTTGCTGGTTTGAGACGGTATATGCAGGACGCTGAAGTGGGGGTTTTTTGCATGTTGTGGCCACTTCCTTTTATGTATTTTAGCCTGGAATGGACCTGAGTGAGGATTTATTGACCCTTTTTTCATTTGCATTGCCACCCCCATTCCTGCACTAATATATCAGAGCATTGTTGCTTGCCCTAGGAGTGCCGTAGCAGGAATGTGTTAGAAAGAGAAGTAGTAACTCTCCTAGGAGTAAATGTCATTCCTCTGCCAGTCCCAAACCTAGGCATCATTAAATTTCCATGTGATTCTTGTTTTGTGGTGGATTTTGTCTCTTACACACAAGTGGTACACAGCGTTAGAGCTCACCACCAACAAGTAGACTTTGAGTGGTCTTTGTCTTGGTCAAATTAAAAATTGCCTATTATGCAGTGGTTTCATGTGTGTTGTTTTTGGTTTCTGAATGATTTATTGTCCTTAGAAGGGAGCCTGCCACCAAAATATTGTCTGTCTGTGAATTTTGAGTGGGCAGTGTGGATGTAGTGGTGCAAGTGCTCTCGGGGACAGATTGTGGAGCAGTTGCTGGGCTTTTGTGTTGTTTGGGTGTGAAGTGCTTTTGGGTGCGTGCTGCCCAGCCTCCCCTTTGGGAGGGCATCTTGAGAACGTCTGGGTTGTCAGATCCTTGGACCTTGGGCAAGGTGGGAAGACTCTGGAGGCAAAAGCAGGAATCCTGTTTTGGTGTTTCTTGGGAGCAGTTAAGATAGGAAACAAGACCTCCAGAGAAGAGCAAATGTGTCAGAGAAAGTTTCTGGTAATATTTTAAGGCTGTAGTAAACTAAGGTTAATTTAATCCATTGCCCAGAAAAAAAACAGATGAAATGGCTCAAGCAATCAGACCCCTACTGATAATGGCTTCGTGGTTGGACATGCTGGTTTGGCTCTTGCTGGTCCTCGCGATCTCTCCCCAAGCTGTGGCCCTGTTGAGGTGGACAGAGATGATGCATCCATAGGCGGTCATCAGTGAGCTGGCTTCACTGAAAAGCAGAGCTTACAAAAAATTTAGTCTGAAGAGTGCCCATGAACAAATGACATTTTTGTCGTAGCAGATTTTATGCCTGTATGAAGCTGGAGTCTAGTCTGCTAACGTCAGCATAATTCTTTCCCTTGACTTCTTCCTGGCAGTTAATCCAGGGAATCAATGCAGCTGCTGAAGGTGAAACACAAATTCTCTGAAGAGGAGTTGTCCATCCCCTTTCTCCCATATACGTCTGTGAAACCTGGTAGAAGTTATGCATATGCAAAGGAGAGCCTAATTTATGGCCAACGTGGCTGACCAGGATTAAATCAAAGCAGGACCGAGCAGAAGTTTTTACTCAACCTTCCCCCCCCAGATTGAGTGTAAAAACCCAGGTTTCATTCGCTGTCGAGAGCCAGCTCTGGCTAGAATGTCATGTCGAGTGCCTGATACCGTGGCCGCAGCTGTCACGTGAAGGGCAGCCAAAATCCGAGTCCTCTTGCACCACGTGCCCATTGGCAAGTTGGTGTGCAGTCTCTCTGTCCAAGATGCTGGTTTTGTTTCATGGTCTGTTCTGTTCTCTCTCCCCCATCCCCATCCGCTCTCAGATGTTTGCTGCCGAGGAGAATGTAGATTTTCGGATACACGTGGAGAACCAGACGCGAGCGAGGGATGACGTGAGCAGGAAGCAGCTTCGGCTCTATCAGCTCTACAGCAGGACAAGTGGGAAACACATCCAAGTGCTCGGCAGGAGGATCAGTGCCAAAGGGGAAGATGGAGATAAATATGGTAAGAATTTTTACTGGGATCCCCCAGACTCCAGGTCAAAGGCTTTAATCCTGTATGTTGGGCAGAGAACCTCTTGAGAGAAAAATAAGAAGAGCAATAAAAAGCAGGATAAAAGGGAAGAAAACCTTTCCAGGTTAAGAACATGTGATTTGTTGTGTTGGAGCAGGCTGTCAGCCCAGCTCCCAGCCGCAGGCAGTTCCCACAGTAGTGTCATGCCCCGATTTATTAGTGTATGATGGTGCTTGAAGAGAAAATCTTTTTCTGCTCAATGGATGAGCTCACAGTGTGTCTACTGTAATTCATAAACGATACCCAGGTTGGTGACTGGGGATGTTCTCTCCCCATGAACTCTGGGCTCGAGTCTGGGTGAATCCAGTGCTTCAATGAAGCACTCTCATCTTTCTAGGCAGGGGGGATATTAGGTTTGAACTGAAATTAAGCAGATATTGGAGCTTTGAGAGTACCCCAGAGCTTAAGCTGAATCTTCAGGTGTGTGGATCCTGCAGGAATGCAAATAATTGAACTTCCCCTGGGCTAGCAGCATGTTCAACTATTCTCATTGTGATTTGCACACAAGCAACATGCTAGAAATGCTGCTAGCAGGCTGAATTATGAAAAAAACCCTGTAACTCTGGTACATTTTGAGATGGTTGTGGCAGAGATACTTTCACTCAAGTTGGTTGCTGGAAGGATTTTAAGGCTGTTCAGAGAACTGGTCCTTTTTCTCTTGTGGCTGTACAGCCCTGTGCATTCATGCGTTGCAGCAGAGCGGGGGGTGTGTGTGTGTTGGCTAGCATGCCCGTTCGCGTGAGGCTGACTTCACATGCAGCACTGGTGACGTGGAGGTGGGCTATGGCGATGGCAGGTCAAAATCTGGGAAACGGTTGTTCCCTCGGGGAGCCTCAGCCAGGCTAGGCACAGGCCATGCCCTGCCCGGGGGGCAGCTACTGCTGCTGCCAGCGCCAGCAGAGGAGCAGGGTGAGCTGTGATGGCCAGAAAGCACCTGCCCGGTGTGAAATGAACCCCCATGGCTGTTGCTTCATGTATGGAGTCACCCAACCTTTCAGAGAAAACCCTGCCCCGAGGTCTCATCAACCCTGTCCTTTGTCATTCCCAAATTTCCAGATAAAACAGGAGTGGAAAGTGCCACTTGGCTGCTAATTATTGTGTCATTTTATTGCATTCATCCTCTTAAGGTTTGATATGTAAACTAGTCGCTGTGTGCAGTGCTGCTGGCTTCCCAGGAGAACGGCTCTTGCCCACAGTGGCTGTCAGGTAACGTGATGCAGTTTTCCTCTCCATAAAAGAAGGCAGCATTTACAGTGGGATGCTGCAGGGAAGTGTGCCCGTGAGCAGCTGACAAGTGCTAATTTATGTGTCAAAGCCCATCTTGTCCCCTTCATACATATGCAATCGTGTCTGAACAACAAATCCTCACGCAGGAGCATGCCCGTGACCGGTGGCGATGCTGCACGATTGCAGAGCCAGAGATTTCCCGTCTGGGGAGCTCCCCGGTGCCTGTGTCGCTGCTCGCCACCAAATCCTCTCCGCTCCTGGTTGCTGGTCTCCTTCTAACAACCCGGAGTGCTCCGGCCGTGGGGGCCGTTTGCCGACACCCCCGCCTGCTCCTTCCCCCGCGCCTCCTAATAAAACTCCTTGACGCGTCAAGCTGCAAAGCCTTCCCATCCCTAGCTGTGCTGAAAGGTTATGGAAATCTGTTCATCGTCTTGCTTGGCACGGGAACACTTAGAGCATGATAATCGGGGAGACAGTGAGGTGGGACATGGAGGTCCAGGATGTGACCACGCAGAGCTCCTAGCTGTGATAATGAAGGGGGGAGAGATGGCAGAGTTACTGAAGTGAGAACCATCTGTGTTACAGCCAAAACTGGATACAAAGGCGATGACACAGGATTCATTATGTGCTGGGAACCCCTCCCCCCGAGGCATTATTATGGAGTAACCTTTGATCAAGACCAGAGAGAGGCTTAAACCAGGTCTGGGGATCTCAACAGTTGCAAACTTTTGATCCACATCTCCGTCTTGCTGCTCGGATCTGCCTCTGAAGGAGGACACCTTTCCCTCTCATGCAGCAGATGGCTTTTTTCCCTCCTGCCCTTTTTCTCTCTTTTACTGCCTCTGTGCTGGTGCGGTGAGTCAGAGCCAGGCTTAGCACCGGGGAGTGCCCAGCTCGTTTCTTGGCTATGTCGCCCTTACAGACGGTGCAGTCTCCCACAGCTTCTCCACTGCCTTAACCCTGTCCCCACTGACAGGGGAGATGATGGTGGAGGCGATGTGGATTGGTGTCCTAAGGATTACAGCCTGGGGAGGGCTTTGGGAGGACGAGCAAGAGCCCATGTCTGAGAATAGGCAAGAGACGTGGGAAAAGGTGCCTGTGAGGTGGCTCCAGCCCTGGATTCTCCCAACAACTCAGTCCCAATGAGAGAAGGTAACATTAAGCAAGGGCAACGCAGACCCCGTCTTCGTGCTGGAAGCTCTGCGGAGCTGCCTGGCTGTGGCTGAGGTCCATAGTGCTCATCACTAGCAAATTAGCACTAGCCAGTTTTAAGGATGGGGTAGCTAATAACATCTTAGCACCTCTTTCCCCTCTCCTCCCATACATTCACAAACTGGTTAAAGAAGTGTCCAAGTGAAGAGAGAGATGCTTTTTTTTTTTTTTTTTACATATACAGCTTCCAAATGGCTGGCGTGGGAGGGTTGTCCTGCCTTTGAAGGGAGGTTAGTTTTATTGCAAAGTTTTATTGACTTCTGTAAAACTTCTCACCTCTTGGTTGAAGAAAATGCCCAGAAAAGAGGGGAGGTGGCAGATCTCAGGCAGTGAATTGCTTGTTTCCAGGCAGCCACCATGAGTACAGCAAAATGGCCAGCCAGCCCTGGTTCAGGGAGAGAAGTTACTGCAGGGCAGGGGGAATCCAGCCAGAGGAAGCCCCCTTGGATGTTTGACCTGGGTCTGCAAGTGCCATGTGCAAGGAAAAATGCGTGCTCTGCAATGCATAGCTTTGCTGGAGTGATAATTCCAGTATGCAATTTTTGGTTTACGTGTTCTTTGGGGCCAAGATCTGGCCCCATGTGTCAAATTATTAAATGACAAATTAAGTCAGTTAATAGAATTAATTGAGTCGATGTAATCCTTTTAATCAGATGGATTTGATCCCTTCTCAGATGAATTAGAATCCATTAACAGATAAGTCAATTATTGGACTAAATTAAATCTAATAATAATGCCTGCTGCTCACAGCAACACTAATTAATCTAAATACACTTGCCTATCTCCCAAGGTTGGTTTTTTTTTAAGGCTTAATTGATGTTCCTAAAGTGCTCTGAGATCTTTAGATAACAGGATCTATGTGAGCAAAATATTATCTCTTAACAGACTATAAACTAATTAAAAGACTGATCTATTTACAGATTGCATTTTTACTTTAATCTCTTCAACCTATTCAGAAGGAGTTTGCACTGGCCCAGAAAAACAATATTCCTGGTATAAGCTTATTATTACTTTACAGGTTCCTAAGTGGTCCTTTCATTCAGAAAATGAAAGGGGGAAGGAGGAAAAACAACCATTAAAGTGCTGACAAAAAAAAGAAAAGGACCTGGAACCTTTATATTCTACCTCCGATAAATGGTACAGATAGGGAAGAGAGGGATCAGTGACCTGAAACCTTAGATCCCTTCATTTATTTTCATTTCACAAAAGGCAGAAGACATTCTATCCTGTTTGTTCTCAATCTTTGTATCCGGCGCAGTTGGGGAGACAGAGCTCTCTTGGTTGGGTGAAGGCATTTTTTGCCTAATTTGTATTTCACAGCCATGCGATTTTTGTTTTAATTTGTCCCCGGCTACTGCTGATCTGTGGGACGATGAGAAGTGATAGCCATCAGCAGAGAGGCGAGGCGGGGTGTGAGAGGTCTCTAGGCTTCCCTGCTCTGTGGAAGTAACTTTTATTTGCGGCGAGTGCTTGAGTGTCTTGAAGGCTGGGAGGTGGCATATGCCAGTGTGTTCCAGGTTGCTATCCAGTGGTATTTTGTCCATCGATGTAGTCTATAACAGTTTTAAAAAACCTCTTGGATCCCCTAGTAGGCTATCAACCTTCTTGTTTATTAACCTTCTAGTCTACAGCACGGGAGGCTTTGTCTGAGGACACCCGGCGCAAGGGGCAGCGCACAGGTGTGACATCTCTCCTTCTCAGCATCCCATCGCTGCCAGCGTCTTCAGCCACCCTGAGCCAGGGAAGTCCTCTCAAAGGCTCCTGCTGGGTTCGGTGGGCTTTAGCTCAGGACGCAAGAGAAGCTCCTGAGGCAGGAGGTTTGGGGAGGTCAGCAAAGCATGGGTTTGCTAGCAGATTGTTGGCAAATCTGGGGTCTGGCAGGTCAAGGAGGGAAACAAAATCAAGAGGTGGTGTGCATACATGCTCACGGTGCCAGGCATCACCTCCACGGGTCACGGGTGTTCCTGGTACAGGACATCGCGCCGCCGTACAGATGTGCTTTTTTGGGTGGTACGGGAAAAGCAAGGAGCTGAGGGAGACGGGTGCCTCCTTCCTGGGGTCACCCCAGCTCGGGTGACGTGCTCCACAGCTTGCAGTCCCCACCTTCTGTTCTAGCTGGAGCTTCCCAGAGATGCCAGTGGACAAGCCCACGGAGAGCGCATTACAGCTGTCTAGACATCAGCCACACTCCATCCCGCCAGAGATTTCATTTGTGGTAGAAGTGGGCTCTGTTCCATGAGGAGGTGTAATATGTGTGGAAAATATTATTATAGCAAAATAGCCTCCTTTAATTGACTCTACATTTTGCAGGATTCCTTCCTAGGTTTGGGTAATCCTGCGCTCTCCAGAATTAATGAGCTGACATAGCACTTCTTCGGGTTTGGCAGCCTGACAGCTAATTTAGAACTCCCTAAACTCATTTCACTAATGACTCCCATTTGTTCTATCTCAAAGCCTGGAAACAAATGCAAAATACCAGTGCCATTGTCCCA